TATCTTTTTAAATACCAGTTTTTTAAATACTACAATACGAATTGCTTTTAAATTAGTACCATATAGTCCGGCCAGTGTGGCTCAGTGGTTGAGCATTGACCCCATGCACCTAGAGGTCACCGGTTCGATTTCCTGGTCAGGGCACATGCCTAGGTTGTGGGCCAAATCCCCAGTGTAGGAGGCGACCAATCAGTGTTCTCTCTCATCAGTGTTTCTATCTCTCCCTCCCTCTCACTTCCTCTCTCTATAAAATCAGTAAAGGAAAAAAAATTTTTTAATTAGTACCATATAGCAACAAGACTTTGAATGACCATTTAAAATAAAAGGCCTGGCCCTGGCCGGTTTGGCTCAGCAGTTGGAGCATCGGCCTGCGGTCCAGAGAAACCCGGGTTCGGTTCCTGCTAAAATAAAAGGCCTGAATGCCCTGACTGGTTTGGCTCAGTGGTTAGAGCATTGGCCTGTGGACCGGAGAGTCCTGGGTTCGGTTCCCGCTAAGGGCATGTACCTCAGTTGCAGTTTGTCCCTGGCTTTGGTTGAGGTCGTGTGGGTGGCAGTCACTCGATGTGTCTCTCTCACGTCAGTGTTTCTCTCTCTCTCGTCCTCCCTCCCTCCCTCACACTCTATCTGAAGATGAATGCAAAAATGTCCTCGGGTGAGGATAAAATATAATAATAATAATGAAATAAAATAAAAGGCCTGAAGTGTGGAAAGAAGGCAAGTGTTGAGAAGAGGCGTGGGCCCCCGGCCCACCCAGTCCCTGTGCCCTCGCTGAAGGTGCTCTCGGCAGCGACCTCTTTCCCCTCCCTGCACCCTGCTTCCAAGCCCCAGATTGCTTGTTTTTATTTGCTGGTGTTTTTAAACATTTAAATAAAGGTCAACACATTTGCCTTTTGTGGTCAAAGTAAACGGATAAATTATATTCATAGGTAATTTATTATTTAATTTTTGTTTGTATTATCCACTCTGCATTTTCATAGACGTTTGTAGATCAAATATTTAGATATTTTCTCTTCTTATCCTTTGACTTAAATACTAATGAGTATTAGATTTCTTCAGTTTTGAACAACAGGATGAGGTAGTCTAAGAACCAACAAACTTGATAAGCAGTTTTCAGATTGTGTTGGCCAGAGTGTAGGTTGTGTTTGCTACTTTAATCCTCGCCTGCGGAGCCCAGTACTCACCGCTCCAGTAAACCTCAATTCCAGCAAGTGAGAATTATGAGGTAGCTACTTGTTAGAAGAATAAATGACAATAGCCACTGATATTGACATAGTAGCTTTTTATATTGTTAGGCTATTGGAGGTGAATTTTATTTATGTTTATAATAGCAGCAACAATAATACGTAATAGCTAGCATCTATGTATACTTTCAGATGTAATACACTCTTCTGAGATCTTTAATCAACCCAATTAGTTAGGTAATATTCTCATTTTACATGTGAGAACCTGAGGCTCAGAGAGGTTACTTACATATGTTGCCCAAGATCACATAACAAATAAATAAATGACAGAACTGGGAGTCAACCAAGTCCAACTCTGAAAGCAAAGGCTATGCTCTTAAACATTGTATTTCCTTCCTTAATAATTTTTTTAAAGTATCAGAGATCATTTCTGATTGTTCTTAAAGGTCTCAGTACCTGAAGACACAACACAGGAGAAGAGCAGGGCGAAGTTGGGAGGAGGGAAGAGCTAATGAATGCCGTGGGTTTTAGTTCCTGCTACTAGTTTGTGACATTGATGTCTTTGTCAGTAACCCCTCCGAATCTTGATTTCCTTATTGGTAAGGATAAGATAATCTCTGAGATCTGTTGTAGTTCTACTGCTATAATGTGTGCTCAGTATCTTTTCTTTTTCTTTTTTAAACAAAAGGTCTCTCTGTCAAAATTAATACTTTGAAAAGATTGCCTAACAAGAGTGATTTTTTGTTGTTGATCGGGAAACATTAGAATATAACCACAGGCTAAATATTAATAGAACTACCATTTATTGCGTGCCTCCCATGTAGGCACTGCTCTAAGTTAGTTACGTATATCATCTCTGTTAATGATCATAAGAAACCTGTGAAATAGAAGGAGAAATTGAAGCACAAAGTGGTAGTATTTCTTTCAGGTCTTACCGCTAGTTCGCGTTGGCACTGCGAGTTGCATTCAGGCAGCTTAGCTTCTGAGTTTGTGCTCTTAGCCGCTAGCATACAGCTAATACAGTGTTCAGTTGTCATTTACTTGCAATTTTTTATTTTATATACCACAGTATAGAATAGATAACAGATCTGTAAAAGATCACAGAGTGGTCTGGCCAGTGTGTTCAGTGGTTGAGCATCGACCCATGCACCAAGAGGTCACCAGTTTGATTCCCGGCCAGGATACTGCCCAGGTTGTGGGCGCGATCCCCAGTAGGGGGTGTGCGGGAGGCGGCCAATCAATGTTTCTATCTCTCCCTCTCTCATTTCCTCTCTCTCTGAAATCAATAAAGGAAAAAAAAGTTTTTAATAAAAAATAAACTTTATAAAAAGGATCACAGAGTGGTATATCTATTTGACATAAAGGTTTCAGAAGCATTGGTCAGCTGGATGTTTCTTGAGGAACTATATGCAAAGAACTGAATCTTGGGGAAAATGAAGCAGTAAAATGGAGGGAAAATATTTATTTTCTTATCCTTTAAGTAAAATTACAATAATTTTACTTCAACCTATGAAGTGGTTTAGTGAAGACCTAAAAATAATAACAGATTTTGTATATTACTTCAGTTTAGATGTTTTTACTAATACAATTTTGTTCATTATAAAGAGATGACTAAAATGTGGTTTGATTTGGAGTAATAAAATAGTTGTCTTTTTTTTAGTTAAAATTTATTTTTTAAATGAAACCTGCTTTATTTGTTTATTGCAAAGAAAGTGGAGTGCATAAAATCCACATTTAGGTTTTTATGAATTTAGAAGAGTGTTTCACTGTAGCAGCAATTCCCTTTGGGAACACACCCAGAGTATCAGCCTGTCAGAATAGAAGAGAACCCTTGTTAGTCTGAAAAAGCCCCCAAAGTGGTTTAGACTTTCCCTTCTCTCTACCCCAAGCTTCTGATGAAAATCACTGCTTTAGAAAAGGTTTCACAACTCCTTTATGCAGAGCCATCCAATAGCACCTTCCTACAGAGAGTAAAACAGAACAAGACGAGGAAAAGAAAAATTACCAAGCATGGAATTCAAGTTAGATAAGTGGAAACATTAGCAGTTAGAAGCAATATAATATTAAAAGGCAGAGAACTCAATCAGGTGTTAGCCTTTAAAATCCCTTATATTTTAGGTGCAGCAGGAGCATTAAGTTGAAGATTGCTGACTACTCTCATTCTGCTCTGTTAGTTTTGTCCTAACAATGAAAGAGGATTGAGACAATGCTCTACCCTTCTTTGCAGTCTTCACAACACCTAGTATACTAATGGGTACATGAATGGTACTTACAGTTTTTAAGTTGAACCTTACATAGACCCAAGGTAGGCTTCCTTTTCCTTAGTTTCCACCCAATTTTGTTTAGTATGAAAAGGAATGATATTCGTGACTTCTTACCACAACACAGTAGATAAACGTGAATTCTGGGCTGAGAGGCATCCACCTCAGAAGACTGCTACTTCATTTTACTTGCTACAAACAAATGGCTCTTCAGTGGAAGGGGCCTCTCAGGTGGTCCTGATACCTGTTTTTGTGTTGTACTGTAGGTGCCTATAGGGTCTGAAAGGTGGCTCTAATAAGCTGGAGTGGCCAGGCAGGAACAACTGTCCCTAACTCCCAGAAACTTAGAGGAAGACTGGGAGGTGACAGCCGTAGGTAGTGTCTAATAGTCGCATCATAGTGAGCACTTTTAATGATCTTAAAGATTTTTTAAAAACAATATCAAAGTTGGATGTTCAATTTTAATCTATTTGCAGATTATCAATATATAAGTAAACTGTGTTTGCGCATAATCTTACTTTATAAAACTATTTTCTTCTAAAACTTCTTTTTAAGCTTTTATTTTTTTGTTGAACTGTATTGCATTTTAATTTCTAAACATTTAATATTTCTGTGTCCTATAGTATAACTATAGTAATTTAACATGAATGTTTTTCTTCAGTGAGACTATATTGCTTAGTTTAATGAACTATGCAGTGCTTAAAATGACATTCATTTAATTATCTTCTTTGAAATCCACCTGAAATTTTTGTGAAATAAAGGAAGCTTGACAGATGACTGACTTTTACCTTAGAGAAAATCAGAAAATACTGATTGTACCATATGATGACTTTATTCCTAATCATACTGCCCTATGGATTTGTTAGAAGCAATGGTTATTGGCAGTTATTGATTATTTTCAGAGCACAAGTTGACAGCATTCAATCAACAGGAGCTAATGCCTTTGGCCTGAGAATTATATGTACTGCAGGTTTCTTTCTCCAGTTACTTAACATTTCTCTGCCTCAGAATTTTCTAACCATAAAGAGAGTTTCCCCAGCCTATTTCACTTTAATAAAGTTTGGCTTTAGTTTAACAGTTTAGGGCTCTTCTGTGCTCCCCGACAGCTTTATTCGTTGTTTCATAGAGATTGTGTTGGGCAGTATGCCCCAGGCTGGTCTAGAGAGAAGGGAAATTCTAAACTTTTTGTAATGTTAAATCCTTAAGTTAAAAAATCTGTGAAAACTTTTAACCTTGGGAGAAATGGTCCATGGGTTTCTTTTACTTAATGCAAATTGCCAATTCTCTCCTGATCCTTTGCTTCCCCCTTTTCCTAATCTTTGATGCATAAAGATAATAATCTATTAGGTAAAGTATTATTTTATAGACAATCATTAAAATCCAGCTGTTTAACTTCCTTCTTTATATTAAGGCCACTAGATCAGGCTTCTGTTTACCTGATTTTATGAGAGCAACTGTGGGGAGTACATTTGGTTTGTGTTCTTTTTAGTGAATAGAAATGAATCATGATTTCTATGCTTAACTGATTTTCTTGTGCAAACAAAATTTTTAACTGTAGCTTCACCAGGTGATACGGATCGGACACAAATTGAGCCCAGCCTGTACCTTGCATCTGTGTTTACAGGTACGATTTTTACTTTAAAAGTTGTTGGACTTAGGAGCTATTCAGATTTTTTTCATTTCCCTGCAATTTCTTTCTATAATAATAATCAACATGGTAGAGATAGTAATTCCAGATTTATTTTCAAATTATAAGAGAAAGTGTATTTAGAAAGTTGCAGAGGTAGTAGAAGTGAGCCAGCTAGGCTGTGTGGGCTCAGGAAACAAGTTACAGAAGCAGAAGGGCCCTTGGAGTTTAGGAGAGAGAAAGGCAAAGGTAAAGCCCCTGAGGCGGGGTGGGGGTGAAGGGAAAGGCGCAAGTATGCTCCCTAAAAGGGAGAGCACGCCCAATTTTTTATTTAACTAAAATATCTATAAACTCTCCCCAGGTATAGGACTCCCTTCAGGCACTCAACTCAACTCTCCGGAAGTTAGGGGACAAAAAAATTTATCATTTCCCTTTAGAAAGTTTATAAAATGTTGAAGTAAAAGGCTGCAGGTGTCTTATTCAGAGCTCTGAGGATAGTACTTGAGATAATTCCATCTGGGGGAGGTTATTTGTTGGGACAGGACAGTGTTTAAACTTTGAAGTCAGTTTTAAACAAAGTGAAGCAGCTGGAACCTGGCATAAGAAGAAACAAATCTTTCACATTAACTATTGCTTTTTAGAGGAAAAAGAATTGGAGTTGTTTTTACAGGTGCTGATACATTTATTCTTTCTATAGGAAGAATTTTATCTTAAATTATAAATTTTAAAATAAGCATTTATTAACTCAGAAAAACAGAAGCAATAGTAAACTTAAAAAATGTAATAGGATTTATGCCTAAACATATTTGGGGATGAGACTATAGTAACACATTAAATCACTTTTAAACATGAAAGCAAGGAAAGAAATGTTTAATAATGACTAATTCTGGAAAGCAGAGGCAGATAAAATATTACATACTAAACATCAAATGACCAAGGCACCTTCTTCATCAAGACGTGGAGTATTTATCCTCCAGCACTGAAGCTATAATGTTACAAAATCTGCAAGGCTGGGTTAATTATGTGAGGAGAACTGAATATAGCAGGATCGTTTAGCAGCTGCTTGAACAAGAAATTAAAGCAAGAGTAGATGCATCCAAGGTGGACAGGAAACACGGATGGAATCTGTTACATTGCCATAGACCTTGGGAAGCAACTGCGCTGCTGCGCTGCTGGGACTCAGGCTGATTTTAAAGGCAGGAGCTGGTCAGCGAGAACCTAAGCAAGCTGTTAGTCACATGGAACCAGAGATTCGAGGTAGAAACCAGTTAGTTTGGTTCAGCAATCATTTCAAGGCCCCATTGTGTGCCTGGCATTATGCTACAACTTTGTAGAATGCAGAGATAAATAAAGTCGCTGCCCTCGTGTAGCCCATATATATATGTGTGTGTGTGTGTGTGTGTGTGTGTGTGTGTGTGTGTGTATATATATATATATATATATATATATTTTTTTTTTTTTTTTTTTTTTTTTTTGATATTTTGTTCAGATAGAGTGGGAGGGAGAGAGAGAGAGAGAAACATTGATGCGAAAGGGACACATCGAGTGGTCGCCACCCGCACGACCCAACCAGAGCCGGGGACAAACTGCAACCGAGGCACGTGCCCTTAGCGGGAACCGAACCCGGGTCTCTCTGGACTGCAGGCCGACGCTCTAACCGCTGAGCCAAACCAGCCAGTAGCCCATATTTAACAGGAGCAACAGACCCACAAGCAAATAATGATAATATAGATATGTATTGTATACCTGCTGTACTGGTCACTCAGAAGACAATGCCTGTAGGTCCCCGTCCATGTTTGTAAGGAATATACTGTCTTGTGGAAGTGACAGGGAAATAACTGCAGTGCACTTTGGTAAGTGCCACAGCAGAGTTGCCTTTGTTAAATAAGGCATCCACAGTTAACGGGAGAGGAATTCCTGTATTTCACCATTACTTCTGAAAAAACAACTCGGGGCTGTCGTATCCTTCAGGTCTGTGATTCTTGAGTATTTGAGGGCTACAGACTCCTTTAAGACATCAGTGGCTATGACCATCTGTCTCCCTCCTCAGCTGTACTTATATGAAAATAATTTGCACAATATTTCAGGGTATTCACAGATCCCTGGTTACTCATCCATGAAGTCGGGGTTAAGAGGTGGCTCAGTTGGTTGGAGCATCATCCTGTATACCAAAAGATTATGGGTTTGATTCCCAGTCAGGGCACATACCTAGGTTTTGGGTTCAATCCCCGGTTGAGGTGCATATGGGAGGCAACTGACCGATGTTTTTCTTTCACATTGATGTTTCTCTCTTTATCTCTCCCGTCCCCTCTCTCTAAAACCAGTAAACATATCCTCAGGTGAGGATTAAAAAGAAAAAAAAATTATTGCACTTGTTTTCTTTTAATTTTTTTTAAAATGTGATTTATAAGAAACCAGTCTTTATCTGCATGTAGAAAACCCCAAATCCAGGCAATTTAAAATACTTTTATCTATTCTCGTCTCATAGAAGAATACCACAGATTCATATATATGGCTCGTGTTATGTGCAGTTATTTGCTTGTCTTCTTTTGTTTTAGGAGAGACTGCTTTGTTTGAATTTCTCTAAGTTTGCAAATAACAGAGATATAATCATTGGTTACCAAGTGTTTGAAGAGTAGAGTCAGAATGTAAGACCCACTGATGAAATTGGATTATCCAAATCTAAAATCCTTTTAGAAAGTTATGTATATTTTAAAAAATATATTGACAATATACAGGCAAAATGTTAAATGGACATTAAAAATCTTTATATTACTTAGAATAAGTTTGTTTTAGCTTTTCTATTTCTTAGTCTTATAAATCCAATATCAAAGAACAGAAAACATAAAATTTCTTAATGAATTAAAAATTTTTTTTTAAATCCTCACCCAAGGATATTTTTCAGTTTATCTTCAGATAGAGTGGAAGGGAGAGAGAGAGGAAGAGAGAAACAGAAACATTGATGTGAGAGAGAGACATCGATTGGTTGCCTCCTGTATGACCCCAACCAGGGCCAGGGCCCAACTGCAACCAAGGTCCGTGCCCTTGACCGGAATCGAACCATGACTCAATGGTCCGCGGACCAACACTCTAACTGCCAAGCCAAACTGGCCAGGGCTCAATTTTAAATACTTTGAAAGCCAAAAAAATTTGAATTTCAAATGTCTACAAAATATATTAAAGTACATCTTCGGAAGCCTCAGACACACGGTCTCACTCGGTGACATCCCAGCTTCAGTGTGTGCCGGGTTAAATGGTGCACTGCACACCCACTGAATCAAGGAATGGTCTCTGTGAAAACAAACAACAAAACACCCTGAAAACAGCTGTTGAAACAATTACGTCATAGAGTAATGACATGACTGGGGAAATTTTAAAAGTCAAATTCAAAAGCATCCTACTGTATTTAATATAGGTAGAAAATGTATGTTTGCTTTACTGACGATTTGTTAAGATAGTTTATCTTTTGTTAAGAAAAATTAAACTCTGTGAGGACCATAACTGGATAGGAATGTTAGTTACTCTTTTTGCCTATTAACAGGAATAATGAAAATGATGCTTAAAAAAAAAATATTTTGCATCTAAAAATTTCTCTCTTAAAAATTCTTTAAACTGTGGCCCTGGCCGGTTTGGCTCAGCGGTTAGAGCATCGGCCTGCGGTCCAGAGAGACCAGGGTTCAGTTCCCGCTAAGGGCATGTACCTCGGTTGCAGTTTGTCCCCGGCCCTGGTTGGGTTGTGCGGGTGGCAGCCATTCAATGTGTCCCTTTCACTTCGATGTTTCTCTCTCTCTCCCTCTGTGTCCCTCCCACTCTATCTCAAAAAAAAAAAAAAGGAAAAATGTCCTCGGGTGAGGATAAAAATAAAAAAATATTAATAATAAAAAAAAAATCTTAAAACTGTGACTTAAAACAGGTTTTCCCAAAATGTATATTAAGCAACACTTTTAGATAAAATAGTGCATTTTATTCACATAATTCATTGTGAAAACAATACTAGAGTTAAAAGTAGCATAATTATTTGGAGGCCTTCTAGAGATTTGGGGTTTTTCTCAGCACATTTCCATGAAAGTCTTATCCTTTCTGAAGTCCACTACCTTTGGTGGCCGACCCTGAGGGTCATTGCCTCTTGAGAAAGTGCCTTTGCAGCTACAGAAAAGTAAAAGACGCTACTAGAAAGAGCTCATCTGTTCTGTGTGCCAGCACTAGACAAACTACTTTGTACGCATTGCCCCAGTTAACGCTCACAAAACTCTCCAACGTGGGTGCTTTTTCTTTATTTCATAGATGGGGAAACTAGGGTTTAGAGAAGTTTTGTAACTTTCCAAAGACTCTCTCTATCCCTTTTACCCCTTACCTGTTTTTCTTTACCTTATTTATTACCTCTTGACATATTTTATGTTTATTTCCTTACTTGTTTATCATTTGCTCCTACACCCAACTGGTATATGATGTCACTGAGATTGGAGCTTTTGTTTTCTTCACTGCTGGAATTTCCAGAGTCTAGAACAGTGCCTGGCACATAGCAGGTGCTCAGTTGATATTTGCTGAGTGAATGATGAGTCCAGCTGCCCAGCTCTATCCTATTCCGGAATCCATGTTCTCCCCCATCGTCCTCTCAACCCCCCACTTCACACAGACAGTCTGGATGGGACCATTCCCAAGTGACATTTGGACCCTAGACTTGCCCCTGACCTAGGGGCAAGTGCTTGAGACTTCATCACTGCTCCTGTCCTTAGTTGCCTCTACCATTACATACCACCACTTAAATGGAATTTCCCTCAACAATAGATAAAAGACTTAAATGTGACTGGTGAATCCATAAAAATCCTAGAAGAAAATGTAGGCAACAAAATTTCAACATCACATGCAGTAGAATTTTCACTGATACAATGTCTAAGGCAAGGGAAACAAAGGGAAAAATTAATACATGGGACTACACCAAGCTAAAAAGCTTCTGCACAGCGAAAGAAACAGCCATCAAAATAGAAAGGGAATCTACTATATGTGAGAGCATCATTGCCAACAATACATCAGATAAGGGGTTAATTTCCAAAGTATATAGAGTACTCATATAACTCAACAAAAGGAAGATGATGAATCCAATTAAAAAATGGGCAGAGGAACTAAATAGACACCTCTCCAAACAGGACATACAAATGGCCAAGAGACATATGAAAAAATGCTCAGTGTCACTAACCATCAGAGAGATGCAAATTAAAACAACAATGAGGTATCACCTCACACTTGTCAGAATGGCCGCCATCAACAAATCATCAAACAACAAGTGTTGGCGAGGGTGTGGAGAAAAGGGGACTCTAATACACTGCTGGTGGGAATGCAGACTGGTGCAGCCGCTATGGAAAACACTATGGTGTTTCCTCAAAAAATTAAAAATTGATCTGCCATTTGACCCAGTGATTCTACTCCTAAGAATATATCCTAAGAAGCCTTGCACACTAATCAGGAAAGAATATATGTACCCCTATGCTCATAGCAGCACTATTTACAATTACTAAGATCTGGAAGCAGACCAAGTGTCCATCAATAGATGAGTGAATAAAAAAGCTGTGGGCCCTGGCCACTTTTTCTCAGTGGTTAGAGCGCTGGCCCACAGACTGGAGAGTCCCGGGTTCAGTTCCCACTAAGGGCATGTACCTTGGTTGCAGTTTGTCCCCGGCCCTGGTTGGGGTCATGTGGGTGGCAGCCAGTCGATATGTCTCTCTCACATCGGTGTTTCCCTCTCTCTCTCTCTTTCTTCCTCTCTCCCTCCCACTCTATCTGAAGATAAATGCAAAAAAATGTCCTCGGGTGAGGATAAAAAAAAAAAAGCTGTGGTACATGTACACAATGGAACACTATGCAGCTATAAGAAAGAAAGATCTCTTATCCAGGAGAGTATTATGCTAAGTGAAATAAACCAATCAAAGAAAGATAAATACCACATGATCTCACTTATTTGCAAAATATAATGAACAAAACATGTAGCTTTAGCTCTACTAATTATGAGTTAGATGAATTATACTAGACTCTTTTGAAATCCATCTCTTACTTTGTATGACCCTTCACTCTTGGGTCTTTTATACTTATTTCTCTGACACTTCCCTTTTGTTTTCCTTTATTTCCTCCTTATTCACTATCTTTGTCCTTCCCTGTATTTTTGTCATTTCTCTTCTCAGTCTATTTTTCTTCCCTAGGAGATCACTGTTTTCGTTGCTCTGATTATTGTATCTGTATAGATGATTGCTAGTTCTCTAAAACTGCCTTATAATTTTTGACTAAGGGTTGCCTAGAAAAATCCATTCATACATCTTGCAGGCATTTAAATTCACCAGTATGTAACTGATCCCAGTCTTTCCCCACCTCTCTGTATCACCGTAGCCTCTAGCTGGTTTATGTTCTTATTACCACTTATTCAGCCAAGTAAACTTGTCATTTCAGAGCCATACTCAGTTCTTGATAAAGTACGGAGTCTTCCTCTAGGTCAGAGGGGTCGAACAACTCTTTCATAGGGGTCGCCTAAGACCTTCGGAAAACACGTATTTCCGATGGTCCTAGGAACCGAGACCCCGCTCCTCTATCCGTCTCCAGGCGGGTCCGCCATGTGCAGATACGCCCACGTACAACATGAGGAACTGTACTAAAGGGTCGCAGCATTAGGAAGGTTGAGAATCACTGCTCTAGATATCTTGAACTATTTCCACTCCTAGGATCATCAGTTATGATATGGACTGTCTCCATAGATTCCTCTCCTTTCTCCTATTTTTCACACAGGTCTTAGAATTCTCTTTTCTAAAATGTGTTTGCTCATATTACTCCTATGTTCAAAGTCTTTTGTGACTCATAATGTTTACAGAATTTGGCCCTGACCTTCCTTCACAGCCTTCTTTCTCATCATTCGTCTTATCCAGTCAATACTTTGATGTCAGAGGACTCAGAGTTCCTGTATCGTACTAACTTTATCTTGACTTTACTTTGTTGGTCTCTTTTCCTTCATGGCCTTCCACATCGTTTAGATCACAGCTCATCTGCTGCTATCATGTAACTGAAACTAAGAATTCCTGTACATGTTTATCTTCACTGCTAGGTTTTGAGCTTCTTGGAGATGAGGACGACTTCTTTCTCATCTGGGTACCTTCTCAGCACCACCTCAGCGCACGCCGTAGGCTTGTACAGACTTTGCTTAGTGAGCGTGTGCTTTCCAAAAAGCCAACTTGAACATCTCTGAGCCTCAGTTGCCTTGTCTGTCTGTCTCCCAGAATTACTGTTAGGATAAGGTGAAATGATGGGGAAAAGATCTTTGCATAATTTTAATTACTGTATTAATATAAGGTAGTAACCACAGGAAATAACATAACTTTATAATAATTGAATTTAATCTGGTCCTTGACATTTGGAAACATCTTCACGATCCAAAAGGAAAAGAAGTTTTATATCTTGTAACACCACTGACAGTTTAACCAGTAATTTAATGCACATGGAAAATGAAGGTACATATAAAGCAACGTTGTGAAATTATATAACAAAAAATAAGAATTTCTGGTATCAGTGTAGTTTTTGAGAGATACATAACTCAAAAAATGGAATTTTTCTTAGTAATTGGGGGAAGGTAACATTTAGTTGAGTTTATGGGTTGAAAATTAATGTTGCTCTCAGCCATAGTTATACCCTGTGTTACTTTTACTTTACTGATGAGGTAAGCTCCGACCTGGGATACTTCCCTTGGCTATTCTGTGTATTCTGCATTATGGCTTTGTAAAATGTAAGCATATTTAAGTACGCTTATATCTATAGATATTTTTTCAAAGCAGTCCTTATTGTTTCTTAATTTTTTATTATATCCTGACAGCTAAATTTTAAAAAGTTTGCTTCCTGTTTAAGATCTTTATTCTATTTAAATTGACATAAGAATTGCTTTCTTAAAGGATTATAATGTGGTATTTTAGTTTGTGGTGTTGCTATAAATGATGCCAAATATTATTTCCCTTTCTTCTTTTATGAAAAACAAAATGAAACAACAAAAAACCTGATACAAATAGAAATAGTGTAATATTAAAATAGCCTTTGTTAGACTTCTTAATATGAAAGGAATTTGCCTTTTACAAGTATCCTGATCATCTTACACAGCTGTGATTGGGTCAGCACTGAAATCCACAGAACCGTTTACTTTTACTGTGGTCCCCATACAAATTTTCTTTTTAACTGTGGAAACTACTTTAAAAAATATAAAGGAAGTTTAGAAAAATTACTGACTCTTGACTCAGATATATTTAATGTTGTTTAAGATGCTTTGTTCTTAAGATGCTTATTATTCTTCTGTGTATATGATAAATTCATGAAATTTGAAGTAAGGATTTATGTGGTCTTAAATAATACCAGGTTGCCATTCTCTATGTTCTTAGTCAATATGCTTTAAAAGTAGAGGAAAGAATTAGGGTCTTCACAGATAGATATACACATATAGTCAACCCTGGGGTTTTTCTAACATGTTAATGAGTTCTTCATCCTAAGCTACCCCCTCTACTCCATGTTACCTGGAGCACTTAGCATCTGTACCACAACTTTTGGCATTTGTAATACTGTCACAGTCCATTCAGGCTGCTACAGAAATATTACAGGCTGGGTAACTTACAAACAACGGAAACTTACTTCTCACGGTTCTGGAGGCTGGAAGGCCCAGATCAAGGCGCCCCTTCTGGTTCACAGCCAGCTGCACGGGCAGGAAGCTCTCTGGGCGTCTTTTATACGGGCTTTACCCCCATGACCGAAGGTCTTGCTCCTCATACCATCACACCAGGCTTTAGGATTTCAACATACAAACTTCAGGGGGGGATATAAACATTCATATCATAACATGAACGTTTTTGTTGTCGTCGTCGTTGTTGTTTTGGCACGTGCCTCTAGCAGGAACTGAACCCAGGACTCTCTCCGGTCCACAGGCCGACGCTCCAACCGCTGAGCCAAACCGGCCAGGGCAACACATACGTTTGAAATACTGTCTCTAACTGTCTAGGGGTAGAGGCAGAAAGGACGAAGGGTATATTTTATCTCCGTGACAAGTTCTGAGCACCTTGAGGGAAGAAATGACCCCATATGCAATCCTGTTCTGGTCCCCTCATTATTGAGGCAAGTTTGAAGCACATAAATACTCAGGATACACTTGTTTAACGAGTCTCTCCTTTTCACAGGCAGTAAAGCACCAGTGCCCCTCTTCACTTCTCAGATGTCACCCACCAGGATGTCCGTGACGCTGCCCTCAGTGAACCCGGAGGACTGCGCTCCGTCTCTGAGCGGCAGCAGCGCCCAGGGGGACGCAGAGTCCTCGGGCACAGACACCTTCTGAGGGGGTTGAGAGCCACTGCGAGATCTGTGCCACTGGTTCTGAGGTCGTTCTTCTCTGGCATAAAACTCCCTCTCAGACTATTTTGGTCTTTGAGTATATTCTGGAAAATTATTTCCAAATTTTATTAAAATGAAAAGCATAATTTGGGTAGTTAGGTAAAATTTTTAAATAAAGGAATTGAAATGTAAACCATCGTGAGTGTGTCTGTGAGTTATTTCTTAGAATCCCGAGGCACCACGGAACAGTGGAAAGGACTGTTGTCATCTAAGAACTTATTACAGATGCAATTATTTGTACATAGATGAGAAACTATATTGGTCGAGGTGTTTCATTCCAGATTTTCTATAACAGTAAGTAATTGGAATCAGTCTAGTGCCTATCAGTAAGGGACAGATTTTTAAAGTGGTAATATATCTATACAATGGAATACTATGTGGTACCAAAAAAAAGAATCTAAAAGTGTTTATGGGTTGATATGGCATCTCTGAGATATATTATTAAAGTAAAAAAAGTCATAGGTAAGACTGAATTATGCTACCACTGTTTAAAAATGGAGTGAAGAGGAACCCAAATCTGTGTTGTGTGCACACATACAGGGTGGGGCAAAGCAGATTTGCAGTGTGTGTACATGAAACACTGAGTTTATTCTTGTCTTATTATTTATTATAGTATTTTCCATACGAACAACTGTAAACCTACTTTTGCCCCACCCTGTATATGCTTACATACATATATTTGTTTCTGTATGTATTAAATATCTTTGGAAGAATAAACAAGAACCTGCTAACTTTGTCTCCGGGGATTGAGCGGCTGGGTGATAGGCTGGAGGGGAGTCAAGGATGACTGTGGCTATTGTATATTTGAACTACAGTTGTTAACAGGAAAAAATTACGAATGTGGTCAATATTTAAATATACAATATGTGTACTTTGTAAAACTTTATAAAACTGTGAATCGTGACTGGATCACTTTTCAAAGCATACATATATAAAATTAAAATTAAATAAAAGCATAGCTTTGTAATCAGACATATATAGGTTCTAATTCCATTTTCTTCACCTACTTGCTCTGTGATAGGAGCGAATAAAGCCCTTCTTCACAGCTGCCTGGGTGAATGGGTTTAATATTTAGCTTGCAGGATCATGAGGATTATTAATAATGTCGGGGGTGGCACCCAGCACAGTGCCTGGCACCAGATAGGTGCTCAGTAGTAAATGATGGGTGTCACTATCCAGGGATTTCGGCATCTTACACAAGAGGTGTAAGCATATGAGAAGGGCAGCCCAGCTTCAGCAAAAGAATGTATCTCCCTGAACGTTTTTCTGTCACTACTAAAGTTCAAGCACACAGTAACTGTAGTCAGCCTTGACTTTTCTGCGTTTTTCTTGGTTACTTAGTGAGTCTCAGCCCTGAGTGCACTTTGGAACCTCTGGGTGCTTTGGAAATGCCTGGGTTTCAGATCCAGGGCTTTGATTTCTTGACCTGGGGTGGGGCCCAGGCATTGGTACTAAAAAAGAAGAAAGGCCCTGGCCGGTTTGGCTCAGCGGTTAGAGCGTCGGCCTGCGGTCCTGAGAGACCCGGGTTTGGTTCCCGCTAAGGGCACGTACCTCGGTTGCAGTTTGTCCCCGGCCCTGGTTGGTCGTGCGGGTGGCAGCCACTCCATGTGTCCCTTCACATCGATGTTTCTCTCTCTCTCTGTTCCTCTCTCTCCCTCCCACTCTACCTGAACAAAAAATGGAAAAATGTCCTCGGGTGAGGATAAAAAAAAAATAATGATAAAAAAAATAAAAAAGAAGAAAGGACCTTCACTGGGCGATTTGAATGTCCACTCACGGTCGAGAATTATCGAAGAGCCTGGGGAACTTCCGAAGAGTTTGGGGATTTTTTTCACTGAAGATGGAAGCTGCACAGACTTATGGGAACTTGGAAGAGTGTCAGCCTTCCGCTTTTCCTCTGTGCCGCAGTTCAGGCTCCTCACAGATGTTTAGCTTCTTAAATGCTTTAAGTTTCACTTTAGAACCTGTTTTTTTCCGCTGTGGCCTTGTGGACGGGTCTACTTGTCATAGTTCCCGTTAGAAATGTAGAAGAAAAATGCGGTGTGGGGATCATGATTTGTTTTTGATGACCGTCTCCAAGTCTCTGGAGAGGGCGAAGGCTGGGGGAACATTTGTAAGTGCTGCTGCATTTAAACATGACCCCCTTGGTGTCTGGTTTTCAGAGCTCTTTCTGTGTTTCAAAAAGATGACTCTTAATTTTAACAAAAGCATTTTTTATTGAAAGATGTTGGTAGTTTTTCTCCCTAACCATAGAAAACCTGCCTTTTCTAATTTTAGGGGAGAAGTATAATCTTTGATTTACTCCACTGCTGTACACTTGAATTTTTCTTTTAAAAAAACACAAAACTTTGGTGTCTCCTCATCAGTATTTTGTTTTATAGAATTATTTCTGGCCAGGGTTACTCCTATATATGTTTTTCTGCCAACTCCCTCAATCCTTTTGGAATAAAACCATGTATGTAAAAGTAAATGGCACTTTTCATGTTATAAGCTTTAATTTTTTAAAAATTTTTTTTAATTTTCAACTTCTGGAGCAAACTCTATATAAGACATGCTACTAAGAGGCAGACTCTATCAAGATTAAGGCTGTTACACAAATTGGTAGTTAGAAACTAGTCACGGGGAAACAAATAAAGCATAAGAAATATGGTCAGTAATTTTGTGCTAACTATGTATGGTGCCAGTTGGGGTACTGGAAATATCGAGGGGAACATTATCAAAAGCATATAATTGTGACTACTAAGCTGTACATCCAAAACCAATGCATAATAACATTTTTTAAAAAAGAGCCCTGGCTGGTTTGGCTCACCGGTTAGAGCATCGACCTGTGATCCAGAGAGACGCGGGTTCGGTTCCCGCCAAGGGCGCGTACCTTGGTTGCAGTTTGTCCCCGGCCCTGGTTGGGTCATGAGGGTGGCAACCACCCGATGTGTCCCTTTCACATCGATGTTTCTCTCTCTCTCCCTTCCACTCTATCTGAACAAAATATGGAGAAATGTCCTCGGGTGAGGATTAAAAAAAAAAGATTAAAGCTATTACTACTTCAGGCTTCCATGCCTTAACACCAGGGTAACAGGTATTCAAAATGTTCCTTTGGTATAATAAAATAAATTTGCACATTAATAGAATAATTGCATTGTTTTTATTTGCACAAGATGATTACTTCAACTTCAGTAAATTTCTTATCATTTGCATATTTCTGGTCTCTTAAGAATTTTTCTGCTTTTGTTCCGACTTCTTATCGAGGCCACAGTGGTAGCATCTGCTCCTGGGGTTCACCCTGCTGCCCAAGGACGACAAGAAGAAGAAAGATTCTGGAAAGTCGGCCAAGGAAGACAGAGACCCAGGAAACAAACCTGGGGGCAAGGCCAGGAACAGGAAGTGGTCCAAAGGCAAAGTCCAGGACAAGCTCAGTAACTGAGTCTTGTGTGACAAAGCAACAGATGACAGACACTGTAGGGAAGTCCCCAACCCGAAGCTTATATAGCCCAGCTGTTGTTTCTGAGACTGAAGATCCGAGGTTCCTTGGTAAAGGGCTTATGAAACTGGTTTCCGAGCACAGAGCTAAGTTCTGTGCACCAGGAACACCAAGGGTGGGGACGCCCCAGTGCTGGACCAGGTGCATGAACAACAGGTCCCACCAGCGGTACATTTTGAAAAATAAAACTTTATTAAATAAAAAATTTTCTTCTTAAATGCTAAACATTTTAAAATCAGTTTTATAGTTTTTTTTTTAAAAAAAATTAAGAACATTACTTTTTTCTGTAAAAATAAGTAAAATAGCATTTCTTAGTTTATGGTGGATTACTACCCCCAATCCAAGATTAATTCTATAGTTGAAACATCTTTTTAAAATGTCCTGATGTTATCATTTTCTGATAGATGAGTAACTTCACAGTAATGGAGAGTAGAATCCTTAGGATTTCTGTGATGTTACTGAGAAGAAACTCACCGAAGTGTACTCTTTTCTACCATATTCATAATGTATCTGTTTGGCAAAGATTAACTCCGAAGCACACTGGGCACAGAGTGCACAGCCCGGTCAGGACTTGTCTTTCCCACCCTTGGTCACCTGCTACTCCTAGAGTAGGCTCACCACGCGGAATTGTCTCTTTCTAAAATAGATCGTCATTTGGTCATCAAATATCAGTTGCACAGTAGTTTTTAAAACTCTCTTAAAGATGCATTGGAGCCCTGGCCGGTTTGGCTCAGCGGTTAGAGCGTCAGCCTGCGGTCCCGAGAGACCCGGGTTCGGTTCCCGCTAAGGGCATGTACCTTGGTTGCAGTTTGTCCCCGGCCCTGGTCGGTCGTGCGGGTGGCAGCCACTCGATGTGTCCCTTTCACATCGATGTTTCTCTCTCTCTCCCTCCCACTCTACCTGAACAATAAATGTCCTCGGATGAGGATAAAAAAAAAAAAAAAGATGCATTGGAGAAAAACAAAGAGAATTATTACAGTGACAAATCCCTTCATTGTAGTTGAGAACATTTCAGGAAGCCAGTTTTTTATATAAATTATCTTATGCCCAGAGAACAGATTCCAAGTCTCAGACTGTCAAACCTTTGAGAGGAATCAGCCTGTGTCTGGATGTTTTAAAGATTTTTTTTCTTTTTGTATTGACGTGTTTACCTAGAAACAATAGAAAATATTAGCCAGAGTGCAGAAGTCCACCCGTGAGTCCAGTACATACTGTAAAGCTATGTGATGGTCCATTAATTACCAAGAGAGCAGGCAAATCAAAGCTCTTTTGCTGAGTCTTTATAGTGTGAATGGTCTTATTTATAATTTCAGCCACAGTGAGGAGTAAGTCTTTGATACTTCTCTTGAATTCAGGGACCCTAGCCAAGGTAAAAACCCTCAAGCAAGTCAATAGACTCCTCTAACCTCTCCAGGGAGGTCACTCCTATGAGACCTCTGAAGAGACCCAGATGGTGAGACTGAACACGGTTTAAAACCTTCAAAGGAGCTGGTAAGGAGTCCCAGGCATAGTTCTCGGTATGCATAGAGGTCATAGATAAAGAACAGGCCTGGTGTGCACAACTGATATGATCTATATGTGAAGAGTTGAAAGTG